GGGCCCCGCTCGGAGGGAAGGTGAGAGACACCCGCTCCCCCCCCGTCACCCCCGGGCTGCAGGGGGAGGTTTGGCCCCAGGCTGCTCCCAGCGGAGCTGGCTGCGATTCCCTGCCCTGGGCCCGGGAAAGCTGCCGTCACCTCCCGGTGTGTGCGGAGCGGGGGGAGCCAGCCCGGGCCGTGCTGGGGCTGGGACAGACACACCTGGGGAGGGGAGTGAGCCGGGGTCACGTTACCACACGCTCCCCCCAATCTGGTGCTTTGTGTTCCCAGCCCCTGGCCGCGCTGGTGTGAACGGAGGCTGCTGCTCGGTGAGATCTGCTGGCCCCGCCCTGCCCTCCCCCTGCGGCTGACAAGGGGCTCCCGGCTGGGCCTGGGGGCAAAGGGAGAAAGCGGGGGGCTGCCCCACCCCGCAGCCAGAGCGGGATTCTTTTACCGCAACTAGCCAACGACGCTCTTGGGGTAGCTGCAGGGGGAGGAGGCTACAGAGCTGCGGGGGGATGGGCAGGCGGGGGGAACAGGGCTGTGGGGGCTGCCGGGAGGAGGGGGATGCAGGGGGCAGGATGGGATTGGGGATGGGTGGGGAGGATGGGGCGCTGCAGGGGAGTCAGGGGGCAAGGGGAGAATTATGGGGCTGAGGGGAATGAGGCTGGAAGTGAGTAGGGGGGATCACTGCGAGGAAAAAGGGGTAAGTGGGGAGGGAATGGTGAGAACAAGAGAAAACTGGCTGGGGAAGGGAGTGGGGAGAGCCTGGGGGGCACAGAGAAGGTGGAGGTGTGGGGAGATACAATGGCAGCTCCCCCGCCACATAGGGTGAGCGGGGTGCCCCTACCAGCAGCCAGTGGGGATTTTTTTTTTCCTCCTAGAAATGGTCAAAAAAGCATGGGGGTGCATTGGCTGGCAAAGCACCCCTCAGGGCTCAGAAGCTACAAGGCAGATCTGCTCAGGCAGCCCCCGCCCCTCCATGCACCTCCCCCCACTTATTTTTATAGATTAAAAATAAAAAAAGACTGACTCCTGATCTCTCTCTCTGCTCCTGTTATTACAGCCCTGGAGTTGAGCTCCCTGGCTCAGAAGCTGCTGCCTCCTCCATTTTGAGCTGGGAGCCCGGACTGAGTAGCAGAGTCTGTGCCTGGGAGAGACCTTCATTAAAGCCCCCACTGTGCCCAGCCTGGGTGAGGACTTTCTGCAGTGGCTGGAAACAGCCCCTAGGGCAGCCTCGGGTTCTACTGACACCAGCCCCTGAGGTATAGAGCATCACAGGAGGTTCCCAGTTCCCAAACCTGCCCAGATCCATTCCCTGCTCCCTGGGCAGACTGACACTCCTGGGAACTTGGTGAGGAGCAAAGAGAGGAAAAGCCAGTTCATCTCTCTTGAATCACTGGGCTGCTCGGAGAATGGGGGACACGCTGCCTTTGAGGACAGTGTCAGGGGAATCCTCTAATGCGGCTCCTTTGGTTCTGCTCTTTTTCCAGCATTCGGCTCAGAGACACTATTATGGGGAGAGTTTAAAAGTGTCCCCAGTGGGTTCAGTTCTACTGGGAGGGGCCTGGCCTGTTTGGTAATAAACTAACTGGGTTTCTTCCCACTGTGGCAGAGTCCAGAGTGTCTGTCTGCAGGGAGAGAGCCAGAGGGGTCATTGGGATGTGAAATGGACTCAAGCCCCTTCTGAAACCCCCCCTCCCGAATTGCCCATCTCGTCCTGACAGGCTGAGGAATCACTTCCACATTTCTCTCCAGATGGTCCCGACTTCCAGGAGACAGGGAAGGGAAATGGCTGTGATGGAGCCAGCTCAGGTAGGAGATTTTCAGGGAGCTTCAGGGGGGGTTGTTGTAGAGGGGTAGGGGCAGGAAAGATACAGGGTGAGGTAGGGAGGGGACAGGGTGTGATAAACCTGCTGGGACACGTTCAACCCAGGCCTGATTTTCTGAACAGGACAATTGGCCTGGGATGGGGAGGGGAGTTCCCTGATTTCTGAACCCAAACACAACCCCCCTGGGCAGGGCTGGGAAAACTGACCAGACTCCCAGTGCTGGAGCCTGACCCCACTGGCCAGAGGCTGCTGTGAAATATGAAGGGAAGCTGTTTGGGATTCCTGTCCCTGTCCCTGGCTCAGAGCTCTGCTTCCCATAACAGCCTGTGGCTGGCAGGCGTGTGGGAAATTAGAAGACCCTGCCCACCTCTGTCTGCTGGGGGGACAAGGAGTCTCATTTTCTCCCCAGCCCCTGAAGCTTCCTGACTGTTCTGAGCAGGGTGGGGGTGGGATTCTGCTTCTCCAGGCCTCTTCCCCCGTGAATAGGGGGATTGTGGCTGGGACAGGAGACGCTGAGTGGGGGAAATGATGTTTCAGATGCCTGTGACCTTCGAGGAGGTGGCTGTGTATTTCACCAAGGGGCAGGGGGCTTTGCTGGACCCCGCTCAGAGAGCCCTCTACAGGGACGTCATGCAGGAGAACTATGAGACGGTGACCTCGCTGGGTAAGGGATTCGTGTGCCCTCAGTTATTAGAAGCTGTGGGGTCTGCATATCTGACTGCCCGGTTAGATTAGGAAGGAATGGGTCGCAAAGTGAAGTGGTTCTAAGCCAGGTGTCCAGAGCCCCCGGGGAGCTGTGAGCAGGTTTTAGGGGGGCTGCCAAGCAGGGCCGGCTTTAGAGTTGCTGGTGCCCAGGACAGAAAGTGGAAGCCCCACTGCATGGGGCTGTAGCCCAGGGCTGAAGCTAAAGCCTGAGCAACTTAGCTTTGCGGGGCCCCATGTTGCGCAGGACCCTGGGTAATTGCCCTACTCCCTACCCCCTAACGCTGGCCCTGGCTTTTATATGCAGAAAAACAGTTGGTGTGACATAGGTGGGCTGCGGAGTTTTTATAGCATGTTTAGGTGGCCTCAGAGAGAACAAGGCTGAGAACCCCTGGCATCATGGGCAGTGCGTAATGTGGGCAAGGGAAGGCTGTGCCTACCTAAATAGCCATGGGTGGCCCCGCCCATGCTCCGCCTCCTCCTACCTGCAGTGCGGCTACTAGGCCCCACCCAGGCAGGCTACTCTCTAGGGAGCCTCCTGGGGCCGCCCAGTGCTGGGGTGCCCCAGAATTGGGGCTGCGCCACCCAGCGCTCCAGGATGCCAGGACTCCCGCTGTGCCCTCTGGGATGGGTGGGAGGGTCACGCACCGCCCACTACCCGCCTGTTGCTCCGGGGCCAGGAGGGGGAGTGAAGCGGCTCATCTTGGTGCTGCTGGCCAGTGCCCGGCGCTGGGGCCAGCCTGACACTCAGGGGGGGGGAGGGTCGACAGCTCATCTCGGCGCCAGGGACAGGGGTGTGGCCAATGGGAGCTGTGGGGGTGCTGCTTGTAGAGAGGGGCAGCGCGCGGAGCCATGTGCTCCCCCCCCCCCCCCCCGAGGGGCCACAGGTCACGTTGGACCTTCCAGGAGCGGCATGGGGCCGGGGTAGGCAGGGAGCCTGACTTAGCGGTAAGTGCTGCCCGGCGGCAGGCCACACCCCAAACTCCAGCACTGAGCCCCTTCCCGAACATAGCACCCGAAACCTGCTCCTGCACCCCCAGCACCCCCCTCCTGCACCTTGAATCCCCTCATGCACCTCAACCCCTGCCCTGACTCTCCTCCGAGAGCCAGCACCCCCACCCCTTCCTGCACCCCAACCGCCTGACCCAGACCTGACTCCCCTCCCGTAGCCAGCACCCTGTATCCCAGGAGTTCTCAAACTGGGGGGAGGAACTCCCCTCCCCACCTCCTCAGGGAGTCGCGAGGTTATTACATGGGGGGGTCGCGAGCTGTCAATCTCCACCGCAAACCCCGCTTTGCCTCCAGCATTTATAATGGTCTTAAATATATTTAAACGTGTTTTTAATTTATAAGGGGGGTTGCACTCAGAGGCTTGCTATGTGAAAGAGGTCACAAGTACAAAAGTTTGAGAACCACTGCTGTACCCCCTCCTACTTCCCAATACAGCCCCAGGCTGGAGCCCCTTCCCAGAGCCAGCACCCTGTACCTCCTCTTGCACCTCAACACTCTGCCGCAGCCCGGAGTCCCCTCCTGCACTCCAACCCCAGGCTCAGCCCAGAGCCCCCTCCCACACTGCAAACCCCTTGGCTCCAGTCCAGAGCCCACACCCCCTCCCAAACGTGAACCCCCTATCCCAGCACAGGGAAAGTGAGCAAGGGTCAGGGAGAGTGAGTGGCGAGGTGGGGGGGGCAATGGAGTGAGTGGGGTAGGGCTTTGGGGAAGGGGCGGAGCCTCGGGAAGGGACTGGGCAGATCCTGGGTTGCCCTTAAATTCAAAAAGTGATCTTGGGAGTAAAAGGTTGGAGATCACCGACCTAGTGCTTACTACTTAGGAGTCAAAGGGGGTACTCTGAAGAACCAGAACTAGACCAGATAGCAAAGATCTGGCCTTAATGGTTTCCAATACCTCTCCCCAAACAAATGTGAAAGCTTAATGGAAATCACTTGTCTGGAATTCAAGTGATTTTCATTAAGAGAGGCCTCTCTCCTGGCCACTGCAACCCTGGAGCTGGGACTGGGACGTGACAGGATAGAAAATACAAGAGTGATACTGCAAATCAAACTTTAAAGATGTAATACATGTTCCAGACAAAGCTAAATCCAAACATTTAAAGCAGCTGGTGGAGGTAACATTCATTTTAGGAACTAGATTAATTAACCTATGTACCGGTAAGCAATTCTGAAATGGCATCGAGTGCAAAAGCTAGGCATAAATAATACATTGTCACTTTTGTGATTATAAAAAAAGTTATTAAATGTGATTTTTAATGATAGTTTTGCAGAGGAGAAGAGATGATTTAGTTGGATTATTTTTAAAAAACTGACTCCAGGAAGCAGTAACTGTGGTTTTTCTCCAGCAGAGTCTCTCCCAACCTGCATAGCCCAGCTAGGGCTCGGAGAGACTGAGCATCAAACTCTCCTCTTCCCCAGGCCACCACCCACCAGGAGATCAGTCAATGGAGAATAATCTTTCACTCGCTCTTTTGCAAGCTCACAAAGCTTTTCCTGATCTGCCTAAATGTTTCCCTTCCTTTCTTAAATTCATCCAGTTATTCCAAATTCCTCTCCCCCAGTGCTTTGCCATATTCAGCAATCCCACTCAGGGCTTGTCTACACTGGGAAGTTTTGTCCCCAAAACCTGGTTTTTGGCCAAAAAACCGCGATAGCGTACACACTGCAAGATCACTTTTTTTCTAAAAAAACCCGCTAGTTTTGGTGACAAAATACTTCCACCCCGTGAGAAACTTTTGTCTTTTCCCCTCCCTTTATTGTCGACAAACAGCCAGTGTAGACACCATAGGTTTTTTTTATTTTATTTTATTGGCCTCCAGAAAGTATCCCACAATTCCCTTGCTGCCGCTCTGGTCAGCGGTTTGGACTCCGCTGCCCTGCAGCCAATCTGCTACTCCCCCTTGCAAGCCCTGGGACATTTAAATCTCATTTCCTGTTTGCTGGCTTCCCAGATGAGCATGGCTGGCTATCGCCACAAACATGCACCCGCTTGGACCACCGCTGAGTAGCTGGATCTGATCAGTATGTGGGGAGAGGAGTCTGATCATTTGCAGCTGCGAGTGACCTGTAGGAATCGGAACACACATGGGAAAATTTCTCAAGGCTTGTGTGAAAAGGGCTATGATCGGGACATGCAGCAGTGCAGAGCTTCTAAAGCATTGTGTTGCACGGATCTTGGGCCCAACATTGTACATGGATGCAACAGGGAAGCAACTCCAAAGCAGACGTGTTACTGCCCCTCATTGTCACAGTGGTTCCTCAAAGCCTCTCTGATGTTAATAGCAGCCCTCTGGGCTCCTCTGACAGCCCTAGCATCTGGCTGCTCAAACTGTGCAGCCAAGCGCTCTGCCCCAATGCGCCACACCTGAGCAAACATTTCACCCTTAGATTCACACAGATTATGCGAAGTGCAGCGTGCGGCTATGACCACAGGAATATTATCCTCGGTAAGGTCTAGCCTGCTATTGAGACACCTCCACCGTGCTTTCAAACGGCCAAAGGCACATTCGACTACCATGCGGCATCTGCTCAGCCTGCTGTTAAAACGCTCCTTGCTGGTGTCCAGGTGCCCTGTGTAAGGTTTCATGAGCCAGGGCTGTAAGGGGTAAGGCAGGTCTCCCAGGATTACTATGGGCATTTCCACATCCCCCACTTTGAATTTATGGTCTGGAAAGGAAGTCTCCCCCCCCCTCCCCCGCCCCCGCAGCTTTCTGTACAGGCCACTGTTCCTGAAGATGTGTGCGTCATGCACCTTTCCAGACCAGCCTGCATTGATGTCCGTGAAACGCCCCCAGTGATCCACAAGTGCCTGCAACACCATGGAGAAGTATCCCTTCCTATTGATGTATTCAGAGGCAAGGTGATCTGGCGCTAAAATTGGAATGTGTGTGCCATCAATGGCACTGCAACCATTAGGGAAACCCATCTCTGCAAAGCCATCCACTGTGTCATGCACATTTCCCAGAGTCACGGTCCTCCGCGGCAGTTGCGATTTCTTGCCCTGCACACTTGGAGTAATACAACCCCAACAGTGGACTTTCCTACTCCAGATTGATTTGCAACTGACCAGTAGCTGTCTGGATTCGCCAGCTTCCACACTGTGATTGCAACACGCTTCTCGACCGGAAGGGCAGCTCTCAATCTGGTGTCCTTGCGCTGCTGGTCGGGTGCCAGCTCAGCACATAGCTCCAGGAAGGTTGCTTTACTCATCCTGAAGTTCTGTACCCACTGATCGTCATCCCACACCTCCATGACAATGCGATCCCACCAATCAGTGCTTGTTTCCCTAGCCCAAAAGCGATGCTCTACCGTATGCAGCTGCTATGTGAATGAACAAAGCACTGATAAGTTGCTGCTATCCATATCACACCTGGATGCCTGCGATTCATCCTCTGCTAACTTTGTGAGTAACTCTTTGCATGATGTCCTCACGACAGCTAACAGCGCATAGGAGAGAAGTGCCTCTCACTGCAGCTGCTGGCAGGTGCTACAACAGAATGACAGTTGGAAAAACGTGGAGGGGTGGGACACAAAGCGGTGCATGACGGTACATTTTGCACATCCCAGGATGTGCCATGCTCCGTTTCCGCATTCCCCCAACCCCTAGCGATGGATGGTGTCGCCAGGCACTGTGGATACATACCCACAGTCCATTGCTCTCCCTGTCTACAAAGGTGCCCCAAATGTGGACATGATCTGTCGACAGAGAGAGCAAATGTAGACATGTTTTGCCAACTTTACTTTTTTTCCCTTGTCGACATTAGTTTCATCAACAAAACTTCCCAGTGTAGACAAGTCCTCTGTGGTGTAACCTGGGCTGTTATATGCTTTCCCTAGGCATCATTCAGCTAAGTGATGTGGATTTACTTTTTCCAGTCATTCCCACAGCCCCTGGATCGTTTCTCTGCCTCTTCTACAAGTGCCCTCTCGTCTGCCAGTAATTTGGTGCCCAGAACTGAATGCATGGCCTCATGGACGGCTCAGGGGGAGACAGACAGTGGAGCATTTAATTCTTTTCCCTCCTGTTCAGCATCCCCAAATACAAATGAAAATACAAACACTTGGACCCAACGTAAGCCCCACACCGCAGGCACAGGGAAGAGGCTGCAACCAGCCCGTGACTGCCAGCCCCTATGACTGGGCTCCTGCGCCCAGTTCCTCCCCAAGTCAGCTCATTCCTTGGCACTGTGGAAGTAATACTCAGTGGGCAGGGTCAGCTCCATTTCTAGCTCACGGAGCCCAGCCACCCTCTCACAGCTACCTTCTGCCTGCAGGAATGAGATTTGCTTTCCCAGCCCCCTCCTAGCTGCAGCAACTGGAGCCTGATTGGCTGGCAGTACGAAGTGCCCCTGAGTGACCTAGAAGCCATGAGTTACTGAGCTCAGCTGCCAGCCACTTTCAGCAGGGCAGGGGCCAGTGTTAGCAGGAAAGGGGGGTCCTAGTTCCCAGAGGCCAGCTGGAGCTGGGAGAGACTGAGAATCGGAGTCTCTCCTCCTCTCTCCCTGCTCCCTCAGCCCAGCTGGAGCTGCAGAGAGGCGGCTGCTGGGGAAAGTCGCGTCTCTCCCTGGCTGCCGCATACAGCCCAGCTTTGGCTGGAAGTCCTGGGACACCCCAAACTTAAGTTTCCATACCCCCACCCACCCCCTATTTCCCCCTCCTACCTCCACCCACTCCCTATTTCCCCCCACCTACGCCCTATTTCCCCCACCACCTCACCTTCCACATCCTCTCTCCAGAGTCCAGGTGGCACCTAATTAGTGGACTCACGTCTGCACGGCTCCACTAATTAGTTGTGCGGCCCTTCCATTACCTCGTGCACAGGCACGCGCCTTAGAGGGGACTATGGTTGCTGGGCAGCGTGGCCCCATCCCCGGTCCAGGAGCGCCAGGTTGCCTGGCAGCGCGGCCCCATCCTTCCCGACCCCGGAGCGCCGCAATGTCGGGTAGCGCGGCCCCAGCCCCAGAGCGCAGGGAGGCCAGGCAGCGCAGGGAAGCCAGGTTCTCCCCCCTGGAGAACCGGGAGGCCGGGCAGCAATGGAAGAGCCAGCCACCTACAGAGCAGGAAGCAGGAGGGGGAGTGTGGGCGGGGCCACACCTAGCTATTTGGGAGGCTCAGCCTCCCCTTGCCTCTGATACCCACTGCTCATGTCTGAGACCTCCTAGTGAGAATAGAACAACACCCCACCCCCACCAGATGTCTGCTGCTCCCAAAGGGTTACCACAGTCCCATATAGGGTCAGGTTAAACTCAGGGAATGTTCCTTGTGACAAATATTCTACCAATGCTCCATGCACCCTGACCTTGCCTGATTTCACCCCCTGTGCAGGATTTCCCATTCCCAAACCGGACCTGATCGCCCGGCTGGAGCGAGGGGAAGAGCCGTGGGTCCCGGATCTCCAGGCCGCTAAGGAAAGAGAGAGCCCAAACGGCACCAGCACAGGTGAGAAGTCAGGGAAACAGAGACAGAAACATCTGGTGAGAGAAGGAAAAAGCTGGAACTCTCAAAATGTGCTGTGAGCGAGAGCCCTCAGTTCTGCCCCATCTCATCCATGTCACGGCTACAGTCAGCAGGTGTCGTATTATGAAGGCAAACATCAGTCATGGCTTCCCACCCATCCTGTTAGCTGTCGGGAATTTCCTCCCTGACTTTAGTTCCCTGGGAGTGTTCGGGTGGGATGTAGCAGCAGAATCCAATGTCTCCATCTGCCCAACAGTCACTGTGTTGTGTTTTCCCTCTTTGCTATTCCCCTTTCTGTCCTTTCTCCCTGGCACAGGCACTGTCTGGATTCCCTCTCTCCCAGCAGGTGATAGGACAGTGAGTTTGAACAAGGAGGAAAATCAGCAGCATGAAGGTCCTTGGAAAGTGGAACTGCAGGGGACGTTTTTGAGAAGAGCTGAAGGGAATTTTCACCAGTGCTTGGAACAGGGAAAAGCCTGGGGAGATCAACACAGATCAAAGATTCAAGTGGGAAACTGTCCCAGAAAGAAATTAAATAAATCCATTGAACGCGGTGGAGGATGCAAGGATCCCAAGGAAACCACAGTCCAGCAGACAAGTCACAATGAAGAGAAACCCTACAAATGCCTTGACTGTGGGAAAAGATTCCATTTCAGTGCAAACCTTATTAGCCATTGGAGAACCCACACAGGAGAGAAGCCCTATAAATGCCTGTATGGTGGTCAAAGTTTCAGTTTGAAATCAACCCTTCATACACATCAGAAAACCCACACAGGAGAGAAACCCCATAAATGCCTGGACTGTGGGAAAACTTTCGGTCAGCGCTCATACCTTATTAAACATGGGAGAATCCACACGGGAGAGAGACCCTATAAATGCCTGGACTGTGGGAAAACTTTCAGTCAGCGCTCAGACCTTACTCAACATGGGAGAATCCACACAGGAGAGAAACCCCATAAATGCCTGGACTGTGGGAAAACTTTCCGTCAGCGCTCAGGCCTTATTAAACATGGGAGAATCCACACGGGAGAGAAACCCCACAAATGCCTGGACTGTGGGAAAACTTTCCGTCAGCACTCAGGCCTTATTAAACATGGGATAATCCACACGGGAGAGAGACCGTATAAATGCCTCGAGTGTGGGAAAAGTTTCAGTTTGAAATTAACCCTTAATACACATCAGAAAACCCACACAGGAGAAAGACCCCATAAATGCTTGGACTGTGGGAAAAGCTTCAGACAGCACTCACATCTTACTACTCATAGGAAAATCCATACGGGAGAGAAACCCTACAAATGCCTCGAGTGTGGGAAAGGTTTTATCACAAATTCATCACTTACTGTACATGGGCGAATCCACACAGGAGAGAGACCCTATAAATGCCTCGAGTGTGGGAAAGGTTTTATCAGAAGTTCAGCGCTTACTAACCATAGGAGAATCCACACAGGAGAAAGACCCTATAAATGCCTTGAGTGTGGGAAAAGTTTCAGTTTGAAATCAATCCTTAATACACATCAGAAAACCCACACAGGAGAGAAACCCCATAAATGCCTGGACTGCGGGAAAACTTTCAGTCAGCGCTCATACCTTACTCTACATGGGCGAAACCACACAGGAGAGAAACCCCATAAATGCTTAGACTGTGGGAAAACTTTCAGTCAGCATTCATACCTTACTAAACATGGGAGAATCCACACAGGAGAGAGACTATATAAATGCCTTGAGTGTGGGAAAAGCTTCAGTAAGAGCTCAGCGATTACCAAACATCAGAGAATCCACAATGATGTAAGAGACCCTAGAAACAGCTTGACTGCCGGAAAAGATTTAATTTGATTTCCCACATCAGTGACCCACACAACAGAGAGACCGTGAATGTGGGGGAAGGTTTATGTGCTGCTCCCGGAGTATCGGGCATCAGCAGATCCACACAGGGAAGAAACTTCTGAGATGTTCTCAGTGTGGAAAATGCTCCAAGTGCAGGTAACCCCACATTGGACATCAGAGACTCCTCCGCACAGCAGGGAAATTCTCTCAGGGCCCTGACTAGGGCTGGCCATGGTGACAAATCCATTTCCTCATTCCCACACACATCAGGGGCGTTTGGCTCCCAAGGATCCATCTGCCCATCGCTGGGGTGAGGATTCAGCAGCAGCCAAGCATCAGCTGGTCAGTGACCCACTGGCTCTGCCTGGTCTAAGCAAACCCCAGGCAGAGGAGGAGAAGCCCCGATCAGCCCCTCCTCCCTGCTGCAGCCCTGCAGAGGTGAGAAGGAGGCCAAGGCTGTCAGGGGACTTGGGCAGCTTTCAAGCCAGGCAGACCCCCATCATGGAGGCCAGAGGGAGATGAGGAGACTGACAGCCCAGCTGGTCACCCCCTCCTCATCTACAACTGTGTCCTGTGTATAGACAATACTCATTGTCTCTGCCCCACTCACCCCACACTCATCCCTCTAACCTGAGCTCTTTGGCTTCCCTGCTCTCGGAGTGTTTCGTTTTGTGATGGGGTTCCAGTGCCTCTCATGGCTTCTCTTCACTTTTCTCCCAATGTGTAGATGTTGCTCTGTTGTGGGGCGTGGGAAATGGGGGAGCTGGGGGCAGCAGTGGGCTGGGTTGGACTGAATTGGGCTGGGCATGGAGAAAGGAGTCTGCTACTTGCTTGTCCATTTAAATAATAAAGTACAATTTAATTTCTCCCACTCCCAGTCTCCTTTGATTTGCATTAAATGGCTGCCCCCTGAAGAGGTAAGGTGAAAGATAAAGGCAATGCAGACTTGTTCTGGGATGGGAATGCACAGTGAGGTCACCCCATCTCGGTCACACGCGCCTCAAACTTCCCTTAGAGATAAAGCTCTCTGAAATCTTGTGCCCCTCTCCCTGACCCCAGTACAAACCAGGAACAGTCTGATTGGGCTTCCGGGCTCATCCTCCTCTCCCTTATCCCAGTGCTAGTCAGGAGTAATCCCACTGAGGCCATGTGACCTGTTTACACCAGTGTGAAGTTGTTGTGAGAGGAGAATCAGACCATTGGCCTCTAGGTCTGTTTGCAATCTATGTGGTGGGCCTCCCAAGGGAGGCTCAGGAATGTGTCAAGGGAGGTGTGACCTGTGGTGGTTTTTTTTTTTTTAGAGCACTGGCTGCCTTCTGAGCTGATAAGTTTGTTTAATCAGCAGTTTGGGAAGGCAAGGTTAGTGGAACATGAATATCCCTATACCTTACTGTGATGGGTTGGATCACAGAAACCCCCTTGGGAGCTGCCACTCGACGTGCAAAGACTACCCCTGCTCCTGTTTTCCCTGCCAGCTCACAGAAATGTGCTTGTCTTTAGCACTCAGATGCCCAACTCCCAATGGGGTCTAAACCCAAATGAATCTGTTTTACCCTGTATAAAGCTTGTGCAGGGCAAACTCATAAATTGTTTGCCCTCTATAACACTGATAGAGAGATCTGCACAGCTGTTTGCTCCCCCAGGTATTAACACATACTCTGAGTAAATTAATAAGTGAAAAGTGATTTTATTAAATACAGAAAGTAGGATTTAAGTGGTTCCAAGTAGTAACAGACAGAACAAAGTAAGTCACCAAGCAAAATAAAATAAAATGCGCAAATCTATGTCTAATCAAACTAAATACAGACAAGATCCTCACCAGTTCCAGAATGCTCCCTTTTACAGGCTAATCTCCTTTTAGCCTGGGTCCAGCAATCACTCATACCCTCTGTAGTTACTGTCCTTTGTTCCAGTTTCATTCAAGTATCCGTGGGGGGGGTGGAGAGGCTCCTTCTTTAGCGAGCTGAAGACAAAATGGACGGGGTCCCCCACGGGTTTAAATAGACTTTCTCTTGTGGATGGAGACCCCCCCCCTCCTTACTCCTATGCAAAGTCCAGCTCAAGATGGAGTTCTGGAGTCACCTGGGCAAGTCACATGTCCCTGCATGACTCAGTCTTTACAGGCCGAAGCCATTGTCCACATGGCATCTTGTATGTCTCCAGGAGGACTTCTTATGTGGATTGGAGCATTCCAAGATGCATTGTTCCCCAAGTGCTTCCTGATTAGGTACTTAACCTTGTGAATTCCTTCCTAAAGAAACTGACCAAATGCCTCACAAAGCTTACTTAGAAACCAAGCAAGTATACAGCAATATTCTTAACCTCAAATAGAAAATGATATATGTGTACAAATAGGATGAATAGATTTAGTAGACCATAACCTTTACGGAGATATATTACATGGCACAGGCTGCACAAAACATATTCCAGTTATGTCATACATACATTTATAAGCACCCCCCCTCCCATAAAGCTTATGGGCTACACTGTCACACTTACCTGTTACCAGTGTGGAGAATTGTGACAGTGAAGGAAATGTTCCTGTGTCTGTTAGGGGTAATGACTTGCCCATGAAGGGAGCTACCCCAATCTCCAAGCAGTTGTCTGTGAATAGCCATGTGCGCTGGGACAAAGGAAAGTATATCCCAAGCTGTTTGTCTGTTAAAGGGGAATGTTTCTCCAGCTCTTTTCTGTCTGTAGAGCAGATAGAAGAAGCCTGTCAGCCTATGATGGTTGAAAATGTATCAGTTAACACAAAGTTGGTTCTGGATACAACTAAAGCCCAGGAAGGAAGGGGTCCTAAATTTGTGTCTGCCAGGGATGATGACATTACAACTAGGTTGCGTCCAGTTGATGTCAAATAGCTCCCAGAGACCAAGCGATTCTGATGCTTCTATTTTGCTTGTAGCTAGTGTGTTGCTGGGTAAAGATGTGACAACCTTGTCTGATCAGGGTGATATCATAGCCAGGGCACAAGGAAAGCATGAGGGTGATTTGACTATGTTACCCACTGACAGTGTGGAAACTTGTAACAAGGAAGAGAATACTTCTAATCTTGTGACTATGAAGTCTAGCTGGTTACCTGAAAGGGGGTTGTGTGGAAATCCTCCTGATGGGCCAGAGGTGATTCTGGATGTATGTGAAACTCAGAAGGAGTTTGGTGATTTGTCAGGGGTTGTGCCAAAGTCGGTTCTGGACATAAATAAAGCTCAAAAAGAATCTCTTGCAGTGCATGATATTGCAGAAGGAAAGGAATTTCTGGGTGAAGTCTTTAAAGTCTGTGAGAAGGAATTGTTCCCATTGACTCTTCATGGGCCGTTGCTGATAGTGAACAGTCTCTCTTCTGAGGAAACTGTGTTAGTGCCTAATGGGCCAGAGTCTTTCAAATGTGTATGATTCCCCTGGCCTTGCTTCAGAAAGAGCCAGTGTGGATAGCTTTGAAAAGATTTCAGATGAAAAAAAAATTGTTAGGGACTTTAAACAGCCCTATAAGGTTAGTCAGCTTGTTGGGGAGACAGTGTTGTTGGAACATGAATGTGTCCATGATGATTTTTTAAGTAAGCAGTCTGTGACTCAGGTACGAGGAAAGATCGGGTTACTGGTTTTTCAGAGCTGAACAGCCTTATAACTGAATCCACAAGGATGCAGGGGAGAACAGGCAAACTCTCATCTCTAGACAATTTGAATATGACTTTTAGTCTCTTAGTGAACTTCACATCTGATTCCATGTAGAAGCAGAGGTTGGTAATGGAAGGACAAAAGAACCTTGAGTCTAACTGTGACGTTATGAGTGTGATATAATATCTCATTGAAAGATGACAGGGCCAGAAAGAGTTAATTAACTCACTGACTGACCTGATCCATGGATGAACTTTAAAGACTGGTTAGGAAGATATGTAAATGAATAGAGCTTTGAAATGTAAGTCTGCATTGTTAGAGATCTCAAGGGTAGATGTTTGCTCAGGTCTTATGATGTAAGCAAACAAGTCTTGTCTATTGCTATAACTTTAATTCAAAGATCAAAAAAGGTATATTAACATTTATGATTATTATTATTGTCTATATGTCTCTTTGAAAGTTGTAGTAACCTATATGGTAATATAGAAGTTGTTTTGTGCTGGCTTGGTAAATCTAAGTATTGGAATGACCACCAGCTTCTGGGGTTTGTCTGACCCGTTTTGTTTGCAGTTCACCCTAATTGAGTGACCTCAGCTGGCTCCCACGGGCAGCACCGTCACACTAACCTACTAGTGAACATGGCTGGTATCTCTTAAAGACAGAGTCCAGCCTTGGAATTGGTAATGCTTGAGGATCTGAAAACAAGTAAAAAAGCCAGTGTCTATGTTGATGCAAATTACCTGCCTGACGGGGGGGTGGGGGGGAGACTTGCCCATAGCCATAAGCAAAGAGGATTCACCCAGTCAGCCAGTGGATTCTGTTACACAAAAGAGTTCAGATTTTGATCCTCGGGAACAGGGAGAAAGGGAAAAAGTTTATCATGCTAATGAAAACCACAGGTTAACCCTAAAATGCCAGAACCCCGTGGTATTGAGCCAAAGGCATAACAAAAATGATTGTGAATGTACACTTGTAATAAATTTGATGTTAATGTTAATGCTAACAATGTACAGGGTTTTTTGGAAAAGCCCTTGAACATGTTGGGAGTGATACATAAGGACTCATTATGTTGTAAAAGCCTTCATGGTTATACTGTTTCATTACATGACAACACACACTATGTTAAAAGGCCTGGTGATACTGATATTTCACAGTTAGTGCCTGTATCTAATCTTGAAACAGTACACAGCAGAAAAACCACTACAAGCTTGAACTGCTGTGCAAAGGGGGAAAATGAGATACAACACCTCACAGCCTTCATGGCTGAAGGCCAGAGTAGGTGCTCTCTGAAGAACATCAATGGCTATGTTAAGTCAACACATAGACCAAACCCTGGAACCACTAAAGTGTTTCACAAAGTAGGGACTAAGTTCCTGGCTGGGGCCAAAATATGCCTCAATAACTTGGCCTTACAAAGAATTCAATCTAAACATCGCTCAGATCAATGTTGGAAGGTCCTTAAGGTGTATCCAGGACCTCTAATTTCGCCCTTCTATACCAGTCTCACCTTAGGGGTGTGATGCATGGCTAGAAAGGGTTAAACCTCCTGCAAACTAAATTACCCTCAAAAGACATATAGGGAGATAATCTTTGTGTTTTTGTGTATTTACATATGTACAAGTAGGGTCCACAATGTAATCAACAGTACCTATCTATGCTGGATTCTGATAGGTCAGAGATCAAAAGAACATCCTATCATGTAAATGAATTGTAAACATGGAATATCTCTGTATTCATCTCTCTTTGCAATGTATAGCAAATAATCTGAATGGTGGAGGAACAAGCAAATGGCCTTATGTTAATTCTATAGCTAAGTACCGGTGATGGAACTCCTTCAAAGTCTGCTAATTACCTTCTGTTCCGGGAGGAACTCCAACTTGTCAAGAAGACATGACATTGAAGAAAAGATCCTTAGTCCTGATTCTGTCATCTCAGATCTGCTTAGGCTTCATCAGGGGACGTTTGAGTCGCAAGACTGAGGTCCCAGTTATGCTGGTACGCCCTGAATATGAGATTAGGACATTGGACTATAACCTATGAACTATTTCTGAAAGAACTTTTTGCAACTACAAAGCTCAAAATCTTTGCTATGAATCTGCACCTCAATACATTGAACTCATGTCTGTATGTATATTAATCTTTTAACCATACTCTTGTTTTTTAATAAATTTTAGTTTAATTAGTAAGAATTGGCTGTAGCATGTATTTGGTTAAAATCTGAATCATTCTTTAACCTGGGAGGTAATGTATCCGATCCTTTGGGATTGGTAGAATCTTTTGTTTTATATGATGAGTTAAGATTTACAGAAATTTGCATCATGTTTAACGTGGGTACCTGGATGGAGGGCTGTGGCTTAATCACTTTAAAGAAACTATGTTGTTTGGACTTCTGAGTAACCAGTAAGGTAATAAAGAAACTGTTTTATGCTGGCTTGCTAAATCTAAGTATTGGAATATCCACCAGCTCGATGAGGATTTTCTGCTCCATTCTTTGCAGTTCACCCTAATTAAGTGACCATAGCTGACTCCCCACTAGGATCCCGGTCACACCCCTCTGCTCATTCTCCCTGCCCATTCTGCATTCGGAAAGCACCATTAGGAGAGAGGTGTTTCCACACAGGGCCTTTTCTTGGAAGCCTGGATTTCCAACCTCTGCTACACAACATCAGCCTCTGAGAGGGAAGCAGCACTGGCCTGTAACTCAGGAGACCTAAGCTCTATTCCCAACTCTGCCAGCAGCTTGTGGGGTGAGCTTAGAGAAATCTGTGCCTTCCAGAGAGGGAATAAATGGGGAGTGATAATATCAGCCTCCGAGCATCTGTCTAGGGCAGGAAAAGTGGTTGGGATTAGCTAGTGCATCTCCTTTGTGCCTCCTCCGCTTTTTCTAGTCTAGACCGA